TAATAAATAAATTTATTTCAAGAAATAGTTTAATTTGCTTATTTGAAATATAGAAGAAGTATAAAAAAACGAAGGCTGAAATTTTAGAATTATTTGTCATAAAACTTCTCTGAGAACCCGGATTATAACTATCAGTTACAACCGGTGTAGGTTACAACCGATAACCGGTTATAACCACTGTCGTTCGGTTATAACCGTAACCGGTGCATCCTTTTTTTATATTTAAAGGATAACCATAAATAGATCAAAAGGTACAATAATTCAAGTAGAAAAAAAACATCGATTAACTTCACCATTGCTAACAACAAACGTTAAGAGTGATACAATCACAGCACCAGCATCAGATCCAAGTGATATCAATCAAAATCATGAAGAACAACAACTGTTTAATGAGAAAAAAACATCTATCGTATGGAATCATGCAATCAAAATAAGTTCACAACTAGCATCGTATAATGAATGTGGAAAAGTAATATCTACATCGGGTGGAAGTACATCGACATTAAGTTATCATTTAATGTCTAAACATCGTATATTAGATGCAAGGTGGTTTGTGCATTTATTCATCGGTTATTCTTCCCCATTTTTGTGTCTCTACGATCGATCTTTTTTTCTTGGTTTGTCTGTCGATAAAACTGAGACTTTCCGAGTTTCTTTCCAGCTACTTATATGGTGTACGTTTTGTATTTTCTAGTGTACCATCAATATCATTACATCGAAAAAGAGGTATTTTACCACCACCAGAAAAAAGACGATTGAATCTGCTTTCAATAAAGTGTATAATTGAAGATTCAAGAACATTTTCTGATTTAAATAAACCTGGAACACAAAAGTTATTTGATGCTTTACTGCTTACTGCCGGGTAAGTCATATGAACATATTCGTAATCAGCGCAAAAAACTGCGTCTAATGATGTGCTTTTAAGGCTGGTTTGAGAGAAAAAATATCGCTCAACCCACCGCAGCTTGGGGTGACAGTTACGCGTTTTAGCCGAATAACTGATTCTGATGATTGAAGCAGATTTTGGTATTTACTTCTTAATTTTATATTTATATTTTTCAGATCTTCTCCTGGATGTGTTCTAATTTTAACAGTGTTAGTTTTATCGCTCAGGACTCTAGGGTCTAGGTCTTGTAACAAACTGTCACCAACAACGACAGTTGTTTTAATATTTGACTTTGATTTAAGTGATGATTGAATTTGACCAGAGTTATTACTTGGAACTGAGTTCGTTTTGTTTGGTGCTGATGTTAAATTTTGTAAGTGAGATGGAGAACGAGGTGTTTGATAGCCCTGTTTATATTGATAACTAAGTCCAAGTTTGTTTCGTAGTAGTTTATTTCGAAAAATGAATTGTTAACTCCCACAGAATCGAGAGCTTATATAGTGTAGATATGGCGTAACTATTATGCAATAAATAATTACACAATAAGAAATGATTATGCAATAACAACTGATTACGCAATAACAG